ATAAATTAATAATAAATAGCATAGGATGGCTTTAGATCAGAGGGTGATTAATTATTTTAACACAAATAGCTATCGTTTGTTGAGCACCTATTATGTGCCAGGCCCCGCGGTCAGCACTTGTAAATATCTTTTCTCTTTTAACCTCACTACAACTCTCTCTGGAAGGCATTAGTTTCCTTGTTTATTTAAAAAGAAAAAAAAAAAGAAATAGTAAAATTTATAGAAGTGAAATAACTTGCCCAGTTTTACAGCGATTGGTGGAGCCAGGAATGACACCTCGGTTTTTGTAACTGCAAAATCTGAATCCTTTCCACTGTGCCACCCCTGGAAAACAAATATGCAATATGCATGATTACAGTTTTTTTCTGCATACTTCCACCCCCCTGTGCAAAAATACCACGGTCTCTTACTTGCACTAAAACAATAGGCTACAGCTACTTCCCACTGCACATCTGTCCATCTTCATTCCTTCCTTTGAAGTCAGAAATGATATTTTTAAGCTGCATTTCTGATCTTGTCACTCTCCCACCTAAAACCCGTGTCTTCATAGTCAGCATAAAGAGCAAAATCCTTATCGTGCCTACATTGCTCCTCCAGCCTTATCTTGTATCCCTGGCCCTATTGTGACCACATCATAATCCCATTTTGTACCTAGCGCCCTGTGTGTCACAGTGTGTCATCACTTCTGATTACCTGTTTTTGTGTGATTATGTGGGTCGCACCTGTGTCCCCACTGGACTGTTAGCTCCCCAAGGCAGGAGCCACATCTGTATTCTTTGCCACTGAGTCCCCTGGCCCTACCATGGTATCTTGCACGTAATTATGAAAACTAGCTTTCATTAAATTGTTTATAATTATCTATTCTCACAGTTGGCCAAAATTAGTATTTTCTTTTTCCTTATATTGAGACTTTGTGTCAAGACACAAATATGGGCATATTTATTTTTAACAACTTTCATATGATTTCTAGATATTTTATTTGTCCATAATAATAAACAACTATTTTTCCCAGATGACATGCCCTATTCCAAGTGTTTTCCAGGCATTTTCTCATTTAATCCTCACAGGAACCATCTGAGGGTAGATGCTTTCTTCAGTCCCATTTTTCTAAGATGAAGACTCAGAGAAGTTAAGTAACATGACTGACATTATACCTAGGATTCAAATCAATGCTTGTGTGGTTCTTCACAGCTATGCCCTATTGCTCCTTTAGAAATCAAATACATCCTTAGAAAGCCCTATTTCACTGTTTTTGTCATTTCTTTGTCATTCACTTATTTAGTCAAAAGACATTTATTAAGCTCCTGGGATGTGTAAGGCACTGTGGTGGGTGCTAGTGGTGTGAACAGTTATTCTGACAGACATAGTCTCTTCCTGTGACACGTACAATACAGAGTGGGAAGCGGGAAACAGACAACCAGCTGGTCCACACAAGAGCGCCCACGACATGCTGTGATAGGGAAGAACAGCACCCTAAGGTGGCACATAGGAAGGGTACAAAACTTGGAGATGGGGGATCCACAAAGACATCCTGGAGGAAGTAGAGTTGACAGTAAGATACAATGGATGAGATGTAGATGAGAAGTAAGCAGGGGCCAGATTGAAAAAAGAAAGAAAGAAAACTTTGCAAGCCATGTTTGGATTTCAAATGAATGGGAAGTTAGTAAAGGACTTTAAGCAGCGTGCAAGTGACATGTCAAGTTTACAGTTCAGAAAGAATTGGAATGGGGAAAGGATGAAGCAGTCAACCAGTGAGAGACAGTGGTGATAGCATTGGATGATGGAGTTTGGTGCTGGCAATACGTGTCCATGAAAACGGCAGGATTAAAGTGGTATTTAGAAGATATAGAGTCCATAGGACTTGGTTATTGATAACACCTGGGAATGAAATCCAGATTCCAGCTGGGACAGGGGACAGGAGAGGTGGTGTCATTCAGCAGGGAGAGAACCCCAGAGCAGGCACGTTTGGAGGGGAGAGATGAGTGTAGGCTGTGCACACCGAGGCCCAAGTGCCTGAGGGACATTTACGTGGGCATGCTGGCCACTCCCATGATCACTCCCACGGGCCTGTATGATCCCGCCCCTGGGAATTCTGAGAGGAGCCCCTGTGTTCTACAAAGGCTCACCAGGAGAGACCTAAGCACCCATGTTACTCCCTCCGCCAGCGGCTATTTCTCTTGGCTTGTAGCCATCACCCTCCTAAGCTCAAGTTCACAGTCCACGCTCCTCTCTCCAGTTTCCTATTTCGCATGACCCATAGCCAGGAACCAGATGAGAATAGTCACAGAGACCAGGAAGGATGATAGGTCTGATGTCATCATCACCGTTCTCTTTGCATCCTGCACCCAGTTGCATCCCGAGAACTAGATCCAGAGGATTCGCAGATCAAATCTATAGAGAATAATTAGAGGAATCCCAGTTCTCCCCCTCAATAATTTCAATAAATACATAAATTTTGTTCACATGGCTATTTCCCTGGGAGTGCCTTCTTTGCTAAATTGAAAAATTGAATAAATAATGAATGCTAAGAAATACAATAACTTCCTTGTGGGTTAATATTTTTGATACACAGAGAAGGTTGCAAATTTGAAATCACTTAAATCTGAATTTTTCAAACTCTAATACATATTTAAGTATTTTAGTTGGTAAGTGATTTGTATTCATCTGCCCCAAATCAGCAATATACTGATACATTTTTCTATTGACATGACTCACATTATTCATTTGTTCTATGTAATGCATTGTCTACTGTGTGCCAGGCACCACCAGTCTTTACTCTGTGCATTTTGCCATTTTAGGAATACCATTCACATTTTACAGATGATGAAAACGAGACTCTAAGTCTTAGAGCCTGGAGGTTATGCACTTGTAGTAGAAGAGCCAGATTTGGAACCTAGGTCTTTGGACTCCAACTCCAGTGCTCCTTGAAGTTGACCACGTCTCTTCCCTTCATAACACAGAACAGGATTTTAAGTAATTATTAAAAGTAACAGCAATCATCCAAGTGAAGGACACAGTGAAGGTTCTGTATAACCTGTTTTTGTTAGTTTGGGGATTTGCTTAATCCATTGATCTCTTAGGTCTCAAAATGTATATAAAGTTAGTTTTGAGAGCAAGATGTTAGGTTTTTGATTTTTTTTAATGCATTATTTGGGAATAAGAATGTTTGCATGGATTGCTCTCGTCCCTCAGAATCCTGTGGTTAGAGATCCTGCAGTTAAACTTGGCCTGAGAGAAGACAGTCTGACTGCAAAAGACTTGGTTGGTTGGTTGGTTGGTTGGCTTGTTTGTTTTTCAGTGGAACGAATTGGTGATAAAGTTCTTCTGTGCCAAAAGCGAGAAATGGCAGATCTGTTCTGAGAAACAAAAGTAAAGAGAGGAGCCAAGAAAACACATAGCTCAATGCCAGGCACCCATAGTAGGAGCTCAATAGATGTTAGTTTTGTTTTTTTAAATACAGTGTCAGAAGTGAGCAAAATGGGGACAAAAACTAGGGACCTGCTTTGTGAAATTTCTCTATGAAATATCTACTTAGATATATGCACCCCCTATATGCCATATAGGCATCCATCTAAGTACATATTTCATAGAGAAAAGACAAAATATTTATTTGCAAATGCAAAGGCATAATGAAAAGGGAAACTTAAACTTGGTGAAGATACAGAGGAGTCCTCATATGCTGCCGATGGAAATGTAAAATTGTATAACTACTTTGGAAAACACTTTGGGAGTTTTTTAAAAAAATTAAAAAACTGCCATACAGCCCAGCCTCTTCATTTTTAAGCATTCACTAAAAGAAATGGAAGCATATGTCTATACAAAGACTTGTACATGACTGTTCATAGCAATTTTATTCAGAACAACTCAAAGCTGGAACAGTCCAAATGTCCATCAACAGGTGAGTTAATAACCAAACGTTGATGTATACATATAATACGATACTGTTCAGCAGTAAAAAGGAGCAAAGTCTTGATACATGCAGCAACATAAATGAATCTCAAAATAGTTACACAAAGTAAAAGAATCCAGATTTTTAAAAAAAGAATGCATACTATATAATTCCAGTTATTCAGAATTCCAGAAAATTGTGACAGAAAGCAGGTTATTGATCACTTGGGATGGGGAGGAGCACAAGGAAACTTTTGAGAGTGATGGACATGGTCATTCTGTTGGTCATGGTAATGGTTTCTGTGATGTCATAACAAGACCTCAGGGCAGACAGGGAAGAAAGTAGAAACAGATTTTTTGACTATCCTCATGAAAGAAACCATGATTTAAATCAGCTAGTCAATAATGTAGCCAACAAACTGCTTGTTCTTGACCAGGTTAGCTAAGTCATCTGTGACTTAGTTCTGCTGCTGTGTTGTATAAATAACTTTTCCTTTTTCCCTGATCTTCCTGGCTGCCCTAGCTTTCCTTTTTTTCTTATTTTAAACTGCATACTACTTAAAAACATAGAAATAAATGAAAACATTTTAAATACTCAAATGCAATTTTTATATCCTTTCAAACACCGGAATTTAAGTGTTGGTCTTCTCTTCTTTTTGAGGGGGCAGAGTGGACAGTGGGGAGATGTTTTTAAACCACGTAGACTTGGATTTGAATGCCAGTTTTGCCATTGACTGGCCTTGAACCTTTACATTTGTAAGTTAAGTTCCCTGATCCTCAGTTTTCTTTTTTTACATGTAACATGGTGATAACAGCCATATTTCAAGGGTCATTGTGAAGATTAGAAATAATCTATAGTGGATAATCTATCTACCGTGGTGTTGAGTAAGTCATTTGCTTGCTATTATATATTACACACCACGTCTATGTCGCACAGTCTATATATTGCACAATCTGTATATTGCATAGTTTGTTTATTTATTTATGTCAACCCCTACGACAGCTGAAGGCAAGTGAGAAGCCTGGAAAAATCAGGGCAGATGGACAGATAAAGTAATGTATTTGCCTTCCATGCATTTGGGGCTGATGTGTTCACTCTGATTTAATTGTAGTGCACCTGGTGGACATCTGGAATGTCATAGAAGCATTGCGGGAGAATGCCCTGAACAATCTGGACCCAAACATAGAACTCAACGTGGCCCGCTTGGAGGCTGTGCTCTCCACCATTTTTTATCAGCTCAACAAACGGATGCCAACCACTCACCAAATCCACGTGGAGCAATCCATCAGCCTCCTCCTTAACTTCCTGCTTGCAGCCTTCGATCCGTAAGCACTCTGAATGTCTGTTGCCCTCTCCACGTTTGCTTTCCATTTCCTCTCCTACTTCTTGGTCTTTTTCCCAAGTAATTTTCTAGAATAACTCTCTTTTTTCTTCATCAGATGTTCAAGTCATAAAGCCTCCATGTGTTTAATATAAATTTTAACTCCTGTGGAAAAAACTAGAGAGTAAAATGGTGCCATAGGAATTTGAGGACAATTGTATTTTATGTGTTGACCTTTATTTAACTCATCTCATGCTTCCTAGAAGCTATGGATGCTTGACTGTGTTGCCTGTGGAGCAACTTAATGAAGTGTGAAGTGAGAGGATTTTTTTAACTAGCTTCTCTGCAAATTATTTAAGACAGTGTTTTTGAGATGCCCTAACAGGGCCCTAGAGCAAACAGGGGAGAAATTGGAAAGGGTTTCTAGACCAGCCTAGTCAAAGTAACCATGACTCGCGTTAAACGGACTGGTCAGTAACGTGCCACCATAAAACAATGGGATGCCATCCACAGCCCCAGTTGAAACTCAGCCTCATCATTGCATAATTTTCCCTTATAAAATCAGAGAATTTCAGAGCTGGCTGAGATCTTAACGACTGTTCATCCAAATCTCTCATTTTACAGATGAAGGAACTGAAGCACAAAGAGATTGTCCTTTGTCCACGGTCTCTCAGCATGTTAGTGGGAGAGTGGGGACTTAGGTATTCAGCTAAGGTTTCTTTTCCGAGGCATATGCGGCAGCATCATGAAATGTAAAAACTCCCCTGAATTACATTAACAGCCTAAAATTTCAAAAGGGCTTTTGCCAATAGCCTCTAGTCTGGACATAGAATCACCCCCTCCACATTCACCACTCGTTTTGAATATTAAAAAGGAAAATTGCTAACCTGACCTTTTGGCAATCACATTTTAAGATGCTTGGAAGATTTTGCTTAGTCTCATTGTCTGGCCGGTGCCTGGGAGTATTTACCCCAGCAGTGGAGATGTTCCACTCAGGCTAATGGTATTAATTTTATTCAACTCACAAAAGTCACCAGCTGTCACTTTGCAACCTAGAGTGTTAACAGAATAGTTCCTGCTCAGTTTTACCAGCGTACGTTATTGTCTCCGTGATGTTTATATCTTGAGAAATTCTCGAATTGAAATAAACAATTTTGAAATGAATAGTCCAGGTTGGTAGACTCCTTGCTTTGACTGTGCAGACTTTACAACTAGACGTACCACTCTAGCCTAATCGCTATGGCAACCAGGTGGTGAGGCAGGCAAGGAAGACTGTGTTTCCACATCACAGGCAGCAGAATGGAACCAGGCCATGGAGTTTCTGTAACAGCATTTCCATCCTGGCCCCTTAACAAGCTTTCAGACTCGCCACTAAAGACTTCAGGGGACTTACTTGTTAGAAGTGTTAATGGGAAATGTAAAAAGAGAAATATAATTTCCCACTAAATCCTGGAGTATTGCTAGAGGATTCATAAGGAATCAAAGCTAAAGAATAATTTACACCCATTCCATAAATACAAAAACAGGACCAGATTAATAATAAGGAAGTGGGTGTTTTCTGAAATATATGAGACTCACACTAATAGGCTTAGATTTTTCACTTTTGTTTAGAAATATTAGTTAGATCATTTCTAAGTATAGAGCTATAAATGTTCTCTAAATAGCTACTGACAATATAGCTGAATCGTTTCAAGACTGGTGAATGCTAAGTTTAAGGACCATCCCAAGGTAAGGAGACATTCACACAAATGTTCAGAAGAAATGTTTATTTGGTACCTTTTCTTCTTACAGATAGGAAGGCCCCTGATATATACTTTCAGTAATCTCATTGTAGTATATTTATAAAGACATCCACATAGAGAAATTTCATTGCAGAGATTTATAAACACATCCACAAAGAGATCCCAGTCTGCAGCTATTTATGCTTTCTGCATAGCAACGAGTATAGGCAGTCCTAATGACACTCAAATTTTCCATCTGATGGCATGGAATTTGGGGTGTGAAATGAAAGCAATCAGGAAGTACAACTAACTGGAAATATAACTTAAAAGTGAATGTAAGTAGAGGAACTTACAAATAAAATGAATGTTCTACTCTATTTCTTATAATAGTAAACTCCTATCTATCCAAATGAGATCCAGTATAGAAATCTGATGTCACTTCCTACCACCTGTCCCATGACAGAGCCCAAGTGTTTAAGAGTAGCTTCTATATTTTGGCAGACATGAATGAATCTGATACTGGTAAAACAAAGATGTGCTGTTGCTGTTATAGAATCACTGAATCATTTAGGGGATTTTCTCCCGTTTGCTGTATTTTAAATGGACATATTTAAAAAAGAAAAAGTCCAAAATAAAAATTAGAGATGTCATAAGAATTTGGACACTAAAGACATGACATTAAAAAAAAGAAAAGATACTCAGAAATCTTCAGGTGTAGAAAAAGAAGACAGTACAGCAATTTAAACTCACAAAGAATAATAAATTGCATTCAAACAAACTTGGTCATTTTTCCAGTGGTGTCTTGAAATTCACCAGACCCAGCCAGTTGGACTCTGCCAAGAAAATGGTAACCTGAAATGAAGATTAAAGCCCAGTTTACTTGAATGTATCCCTGGGAATCAGACTCACGTTCCTACAACCATAGTTACCCCAAAATAGCACTCACTTCTATCCAAAACAAATATATATCTGGGTCTCAGTTCTCTATTATGGTCTACTTCCTATAGACCATGATCAGTTTTTTGGTTATAAGGGTTCTCTGCTCTTTGGCCAAGTCAGCCTCTTAGAAGATATGGTACATGGTGACATATGCAGGATGATTTTTATAATGTCAGGAGGTGGCAGTGGACCCCAATGGCCTATGCTCATGCTTGCCATTCTATCACTGAAGAGATAATCCCTTGAATCTAGAAGACTTTTGTTCTTCCTGACTTTCCTTCTAAAAATGGCTGTATTCCTGGGAGGGGATCACCCACTGAGGGATTACCAACCAACTTCTTTTTTTTTCATTATTTTTTATTTTATTTATTTATTCATTTTTTATAATTTTAATTTCCTTTTTTTTTTTTTTTTTTTTTTGAGACAGTCTCACTCTCTTGCCTGGGCTAGTGCCGTGGCATCAGCCTAGCTCACAGCAACCTCAAACTCCTGGGCTCAAGCGATCCTCCTGCCTCAGCCCTCAGGTAGCTGGGACTACAGGCACACGCCACCATGCCCGGTTAATTTTTTCTATTTTTAGTTGTTTGGCCAATTTCTTTCTATTTTTAGTAGAGATGGGGTCCCACTCTTGCTCAGGCTGGTCTTGAACCCCTGAGCTCAAACGATCCACCCGCCTCGGCCTCCCAGAGTGCTAGAATTACAGGCACAAGCCACCGCGTCCGGCCTCCAACCAACTTCTAAGCAGATCTTTCCATGGCCAGAAGCTATCTTTTCTAGGGTCTCTAGGGATGCAGAGGGGTATGCCTGGGAAGGATGGAAAGAGAGGTCTCAGAAGATGGAAGCGAGGGCTGAGATGGAAAAAGATACATTAGGAAGTAGCCGGAGCTTGAGCCAGTCTCTTCCTCTTGTCTCTTTCCTCCTGTTCACCCCAGGAACTGGCCTGCCACCTTCCCTTCTTTGCTGTCAGGTACCTTCCATATGAGGCTCTCTCCTTCAGAAGCCACTAACAACCTGGCAGCAGCTTTTTCTTTCACCTCTTGTTCATATTCCAATGGGGGGAAAAAACTCGTTGAAGTGTTCTAAGGACGTTTTCTGTTATTATGTTTTAGAAAATAGAAAATAACTAACTCAAAAGAAAAACAACATTTCAGAAAGTTACAGGATGAAAATAATTCTTAAAAGTCTATCATGGGCAGCCTTTTGGAGAGGTGCACTCACAAACTCTGATACTCTGTGGAGCCCTTTGCCTCTCGTAGCCAAGTTGACTGCCTTCCCCAGGTCTCACTGTTCCTTGTGCATGATTCTGCTGTCCTCTCATAGTGCCTGTCTGACTGTTTACATGACTGCCTCTCATGAGTTACTTTAGGGTGGGACCATGTCTTCCTTATTCTTTGTATGCACAGCACCTGAGAGCAACACAAGAATGAATCAGTAAATGAAAATCAAAGGTTGATCTTTCTTAGCTCTTGTCACACTAATTTCTTTTCATTCTTTTTCTACTCTCTGGTGTATTACCAAGACTAGCGAGTCCCAATCACCTAGATTCAGACCCTCTATTTTTACTTCTACTCCACAGAGAAAAAGCCAAGTGTTCATGGTTAGGAATGTGGGTGATGCTATTTTTACAAAAGACTTCAATGTACTTCTCTTACTTGCATCTTCCTTCCCTGGGAAACACTAACAACAACTTTAGTCCTGACTTAATCTCATTTCAATTCAGTAGTGTCTTCCTTCTTAGGACAGTTCTTCATAAAGTAGGTTCTGTGACAGTGGCCTAGTTTTAGCCAATATCATTTCCATATATATTCAGTCACTCGAAAATCATAGTAGGACGATAATAAGTATTAAAAGAAAGAGTAGTTTTCCTGTTTTTGTGGGTCTTAAGCTGCAGTCTTAATGCCAATTCCCTAGTGATACAATATATAATATGTCCCTGACAATATAATAATCATAATAATAACTAAGGTGTATTCAGCATGTACTGTGTGCCAACAATCTTATTGATTTGGCATCATATCTTTATAATTTTCCATGTTGAGATGATAAAGCTGTGATATAAGGAGGTTAAACAATTTGCAACTTCATACCAGATTGGAGTGAATTGGGAAAAAATCATTTTGCTTCAGGAATCAAGTCAGTTTAAATTCAGCTCTGTTCATGCTTTCTACTTCATTTTCTTGGATCAGAATTAATGTACTTTTTTCTCCCAGATTTATCCTGCTTATTACAGGATATTATTATGCTCCCAAGTCTAGCCTTTCCAGTTTGTGGTATTTAGACATATTTGAAAGAGGGTATACGAAAAAAAAAATATTTGGACTTAAGTTTTACATTGTAGCATCAGAGTCCATTGTATGACAGCTACCAAGAGCTACAAATCCATCGTATAATAGTCTTATGTAGAGAATACAAAATCCTTGAATTTTCCTCTTTATTAGACACAGCACACCTTGTTGAGCCATTTGAACAACGATTTCCACTGCTAAGGCCCCGATGCTGCAAAAGGCACCACAGAACTATTTCAAATGTGTGGATACAAAATAATATTGAAACTCTGCCAAATCCTTCTGCCTTCTGAATTTTAAAAATGATTCTGATATTTAATGCAAGATGTACTACCAAGTACACAGCCATTTCTCTGTGAGCCAACAAAATGTATTGTTCATGTTTGAGACTATGTAGATACGTACGAGCAAAGGAAAGAGAGAAAAGTTATATAAAACCAAATGTTCTTCTCTTTTCTTTTAATATCTATATGGCCAAAACTAGATATTCAAAACAGTGTTTACTTGGCGTGGTGACTTTTTTCTTAGCACATCTTTAATTCAAGATGTCCACAGAACATTCTCCTCTAGTAACTCAAATTTTGTTCTGGCAAAAAAACACGTCGTTCAAGGTTCCTATATGCTGCTAAAATGGAACCACTTCCCAAAGAATTTTCACAATTGTAGACAAATTGAATAACCTTCATGTCATTCATCTTTTGTCTGAGTTACACTTTGGATGAGTGGCAGATGGAATTTCAACAGGGTAGAGGAGACATCCCAGCAGTAATGGCCCCTTTCATTCTAGAGAAACCCCTGGCAAACTCCTCTGGCCCAGGAATATGTGTACTTTTCCCAGATGTTTTGTTAACATTGTGGGGAGCCCAAAGAGATGCTCCCCACATGGTCCAAATAAGAGGTTTCTGTCTCTTCACAGGTTAACTCCACTATCCCCAAAACAAGAGTAATGTATGTGACCACTTCTAAATTCAAGGCTTCACACAACTGCACAATCTAATAGTAAGGGCTATAAAGTCAATCATTATAATTTTACTCAAACACCTTGTATTCCTCAGCATAAATCTTAAGTAGTAAATCAGAAAGTTTCTTTTCACTTATGCATTCATTAATTTAACTAACAAATGTTAAGAGCGTGCTATGTGCTAGGTGCTCTGACAGGCTGGGGATAAATGATAAGACAAGATGAAGGGAGATGAGATGCCGTTTGTAAAAATGTGTTGTATTAAAATTAACTTTCTTTGCCCCTTTCTTTCCAATATATTATGAACAAATGGAGGGTAGGAGCCACATCTTATTCATCTGTATATCCCCAAGCTCTAGGACAATGCCAATGAGTATTTATCGAGTGACTAAATGAGTGATACATATGAGCAAAATAATTTTCAAATAAAAATTATGACAGAGGAATGTTGTAGAAGCAGAGGAAAGGAAGCAATTCTCTCAGTTAATTAAGCCATCAAAAATGTGTGAGAAAGAGCAGTTTGAATGCTGTGCCTCTGCTTATCAAAAATGCTCACCAAATGTTTTTTGTAAAACATGTTGGTAAAAGAGCTTCTGATTTTAGTACTCTTAAATAGAGAAATAATTTCTCCTACCTGTTCAAGAAAGCATCGGTCAGAATTCAAATCTCGCTTTCGAGGACTTGCAGTTTATCATGGGATTTTGTAACCTCAAACAGGAAAATCTCTTGACAATTTGGCAAACATTTCCTTTCTGTTCTGAGCTGAGCCTAGCACCCCAGACCTATCAATACTTATTTGTTGTTTTTCCTTCTCGTCAAAGGCAAATTTTCCCTTCCCTGCAACTTGAAGCCTAATAATGCTTTGCATTTCGAAGACTGCATTATCGCTATATTAGTCCTGATATTCCATACCTTGTGGACTTTTCTGTCCTCATTATTTGAACCATGTTACAGTTTAGGAAAAAAAGCCAGTTATTTCCTGAAGCCAGATCTTTGATACTTCCAGTTATCTATGTAATTGAGAATGCAGGGGACAGGAATAATTTTGAATAAGGTGGTTTTCACAAAATCACTGAATTTATATTACTGCTACCTGCTCTAAAATTAGTGAACAATTTACAGAGTGGCCATTACAAATTCTGGGGGTACCTATTATAATGATTAATTCCCATTCCTTAATATAAGATATTTATGGATCATTAGCTCTGTGTGAAACAAAGTGCTCAGCACTAGGAATTCAACTAAGTCAGAAGGTATCATCTCTGCCCAGATTCAATCACATTGCAGACATGTAAGTAAACAAATCAAGGTCACTCAGTGTGTCAGGTGCCACATAATAGGTAAAAGTGAAGGGAAGAGGGATTGCCTGGATATGAACATCCAAGAGAAAAGCTGTTTTCAGAGCAGGGTAAATGATGATATTGAGCAACGTGTTGACATATGAGTGTGAGGGTGGTAGGCAGACTATGGTGGGAAGGGCAGGGGCCAGAAGGCATTGAACAATGTGACTGGGGTACAGAAATGGTAGCGGATGAGACTAGAGGAAATCACTACATACACCACGAGAAAAAGTTAGAACCTCATCCTGTGGGCAAAAGGATGTAAGGGGGTTTTAAACAATGAAAAAATATGGTCAAATTTGTATATGAGTGTGCAAGCAGAGAGGTCATTTTAGCGCTTATTACAGTGTTAAAGCAAGAGCTGACAAAAGCAACAACAGTAGGAATGGAAAGATGGGAATCAATTCAACATACACTGAAGAGGTTATGTTTGAGTCCCTCAAACATTAGTTCAAAGCAGTAGTGAATTTAGGAAGAGCAGGAAACTTAGGGTGACCCCCGCTCCAGGATTCATTTTTGGATAAGTAGGTACATGGTTGTTCTAACAACCAGAAGAGGGAATATAGAAGGAAGAGTAGGTTAGTATTAGGGTTAATCTAGGTATTATGGAAGAGCTCTGTAAAAATAATGAGTTCTATTTTGAACACACTTGGTTTGGCATGAGGTATGCAAGTGGAGATTTCCAATAAATGATTGCGTAAGTCTGGTGCTCAAGCTTTAAAATATAAATGGGAGAGTCGCTAGCATAAGGTTCAGTCAATTTTGCATTCTGGCTAGCTGTATTTCAGGTATTATGCTAAGAATGACAGCAACAAAGATAAATAACAAATGACCCCTCTCTGAAGTCTAGTAAGGAACAAGACCACAATTATTTATTGTATCTTATTCTAATATATCAGGTATATGAATTTTATTCCTATAAATGATTTATTCTGTATACTAAAACCTTGTCAATTCAGACTTACTTACCTTTCAGCCACATTATTATTTTAAATAACTCTTTTGATCATTCCTAAGAGAGCAACTATCAAAGAAATGAATTACTAATACAATATGCTTTCTGATTCTAAGTACATAAGAATAAACAGTTTATTCTAGTTGATACAAATAATTTAGCTGAAACATTATACATCTTACAGTATGCCCTTTATATCACATTTTGTGAAGGACAGGTTTACTATACTTCCTGAATCAATAAAGATCTGGCAGCGCCTGTATCATTTGGGTAGAAAGAGAACCATTCAAACAGCGCTCTTACTTTCCCTCCCTTAAAATTCCAGCTCTCTTTGAAAAGTAAATTTATCACATAAGCACAGTTGGCTTGTGGGTAGGAAATAATGGTTGGAAAAAAATGTGTGATGACAAGTCCCTAGAGTTACCCTAACCTCAAATTCAGGAATTCTCTTTTAAACAAAATGCTATTTCTGAAGCCTCATTTAAATAAATTATATAGACTATGGAATTATCATGCACAAAATTATGTTATGAGGCCCAAAGTGAAAAGCATGTTCTCCTATTTAAATCCAAGTTAGCTAGTGCATATTCTCATGGCTATCAGCCCATGTTTTGAGCAAGTGACACTTACAAAGAAGATTATATATAGAAGATTCTGATGTCTCTTGAGAAAAAGGAAACATTGAATAGACAATTTTACAGAAATGTGCATTGAATTGTATTCACAACCTTTTCTAAAATGGATGTGTTCACATAAAGTCTGCAACCACGTACCCTGTGATTTCTACAGAATAGAAAATGTCAAACCTTGTTATTGGAAGTGCTCCAAATGACATCATGTTTTTTTTCTATTGTCATTAAACAGGGAAGGCCATGGTAAAATTTCAGTGTTTGCTGTCAAAATGGCTTTAGCCACGTTGTGTGGAGGGAAGATTATGGACAAATTAAGATGTAAGTTGTTATTCCTTGTGTCTCTCTTTGCTTGTCCCTCCTCAGTACCACATCTTTCTCTTCCCCACTGCTGTTAATACCATATTTCCCTATCCATTTGTGTCTTTCCTCATTTCGTGAGAGTTGTTTGAAATACAATCTTCATTGATCTTTGGATTTTGTCATAAAGATGTTTTCGTATTAGATACATGTTAATGAAATGAATGTTTCTCTCTTCTTACAACCTACTGAGCATCACCAACTGAACTCGGTCTGATATTAAAGTAAGATTGACATCCTTTCCAGTTCATTGTACTGTATTGCCTTACAGGCGGTTCATCATCACAGGGACACAAAAGCCGTTCTTGGGCAACCTTCACCTTTAGATATTCTAAAACCAAAGCTCCTGGCACATTTTCTCATTCTTCTCAGCCAGTGCTATTCAAATCCCTGGGAACTCCAAAGATTCCAAAGCAGATACTGCCAGGCCACAGGCATAGAAATTACACAGACACGGTATAGACAGAATTAACTGAATGCCAATAAAAACACGATAGCCAGAGTACGTTGAATGAGTATGAGCCTTTATGTACATTTTGTCTCTGTGGTAGAGTTTTTTGACCAACGACACAGTGAAAATTGTTTGTTTTAGGTAAAGAAGCTGAGACTTAGAAAGTTAAATTAAATCACACAGCTAAGATAGCACCAGGATTTAAACCCTGAGTTTTTTCCTACACCACTGGTTCTCATATTTTAGTATGCATCAGAATCACCTAGAGGGCTTAATAAAACATAAATTTCTGGATCCCGCCCCCAGAATTTCTGACTCAGCACCCTAGAGTGGGGGTGGGGGACAAGGATATTTATTTTTAACTAGTTTAAGATGATGTTGATGCTGCTGTTTAAATGAAAAATATCCACTTAATCCTATCTCTTCCCCTAAATATTGTGATTCTGGGTTATAATGCTGTATTAGAAAGGGCCCTGCCATGGGAATTGGGAGTTCCAGAATATAAGCCTGGCAGTGTGACTAATGGGCTGAGTGACCCTGTGGACATTTGCTTCACTTCTTTATTCCTCAGCTTCCCTCTGAATCCTAAATGTAGGGATTTCATTAGCTACCTTTGGAGTCACTCCTAGCTGCAACCATCTGTGCACAACTCACAGGTGTGAAGCTCACCTGCTGTCTGCGAGCTCCTGAGTGAGATTTCTTGCTCCTTGATACACTGAGAGGGAAAGAATAAAGAAAGACACAGATGAAAACCCTTTATTCCTTTGACTTTCCCCCAGACTTGCTCCAGAGGAGAGTTATTTCATTGGACCAAAGCCCCAGGTAACAACACAGCTTCCCTCACTTCCAGAGGCTTCCTTTTGTGGAGTAGCCCAATGCAGCCAGGATTCACAGAAGCCCAACCAGACCTTGGGAGGCTCAGTGTAGTTCCCTTTCATTAGCCTGAAAGATATAGAAAATAAAAAACTATCTACCTCAGTACTTGATAGAAAGATAATAGCTAAGTTAGATGGCGCTGGAACCAATGGCCTTTAAAAAAAAAAAAATAGCTTCACAGGAGTTTGAGGCCAGCCTGGGCAACATAATGAGGCCCTTTCTCTCCAAAAAAAAAAATATGAAAAATTAGTCAGGCTTGCTGGCATGCACCTGTAGTCCCAGCTAGTCTGGAGGCTGAGTGGGAAGGATCACTCGAGCCCAGGAGTTCGAGGCTACAGTGAGCTATGACTATGCCACTGCACTCCAGCCTTTAGAGACCCTATCTCTAAAAAATAATAATAATAATAAAAATTAGCTTCAGAGTAATCCAGGAGGCATTTCCTTCAGAGTTAAGGTGGGAAGAGAAAGTTTAGCAAAATGAACCAAGGCAGATGAAGAAAGTCCTGAGGGCTTTGCCTGCTGACCTCACGTCACAGCGGACCATTCATGATGAGGACATTAGATCTTGAGAAACATTTCCAAATACTTATTCAATATATCAAGAGGTACCTGCATACAAGAGTCCTATATTAAAATAACCTTGAGGAAAACTGAGAAAACCAGCCTTATGCACTTCAGAGCTCCTCTGAGCCTTTCACGTACCAGGTTAGTCCTGAACCCTCAAGGTCCCAGGTGGTTGCATCTCTCCACCCAGATTTCCTCCATGGCAGAGTTCATCCTCCTTCTGTAGGCAGTACAGGGTGCAGCAGTCTCAAGAGCCACATCTCACTCCAGAGGTCCCCTAGCCATTAAGTCTATTGCCCAGGGTGGCATCACAGCCCAATTACTACACCAATTATTGTTAAGAGGAAAGGCAAGATGGGGATGGTCATGGAGCTACTTTCTCCTCCTGGGCTAGGAAGGGCTGTTTCTTCCCCTTGGCCCAGGAACAAATTTAGGACCAACACAGATGAAGGAAGTGGTTGTTGGGTAAGGAACTAGAAATGTCAGCACAGTTACAATGCTGAAAATACAACTAAATTTTTGACCAGATCCTTGCCAGTTGTCAAAACCCTTGCAGTTCTCCTGCAGGTCCAGGAGTTCAAAGCACACAATGTAACTGCTAAAGTGCTTTCTTTCTCCTCACCCCATCCCAGCACCCTTCAAAAGACACACTCAGTGAGCAAAGCATACATGCTCTCCAGTGGCCAAAGTCAGTCCTCTCAGTGCAGTGAAATAAGCAACAAATGCACGAGTCTCATTGGAGGTGACCTAAGTCCCCCAGTCTCCAAAAACAAGCTTCACAGTGCCACAAAGTCTGTAGGAAAACAGATAATGTGACCCCAATATATCCCATCTCCCCCTTCAAGAGCCACAGAGCTGAATCATAGTCTCAAGTGTCACCCTTTGCATAGTTAATCCCAGGGAGATGGTTTTAGTGGTTTCCGGGTAACTTGGTTGAAAGCAATTTGACCAAAAACAATTTAGCTAAAAACAATTTGGTTGGAAGAATCTCTCCAGAATATTAGTTGGTCAGAAATGAATATCCTGGCCGGGCCCCTGTAGTCCCAGCTACTCGGAAGAGTAAAGCAGGAAGATCGCTTAAGCCCAGGAGTGTGAGGTTGCAGTGAGCTGTGATGATGCCATTGCACTCTAGCCTGGGCAACAAAGCAAGACCCTGTCTACAAAAAAAAAAAAAAATAATAATATCCCTAGTCATCATTATTTCTGGTTTCAGTGATAATTATTGACTGAATGAGCAAAAATGAGCAAATCTACCCACATACAGCACTGACTTCCCCTTGATGAGTGGAATTGTGGGTGTTTTCATAGTCTTCTTTTCCTGGCTTGCATTTTAATGATAAAATAGGCAAGGTTGTGATTTTCTGCATTTTTTGTAATAAGAAAAAGTGAAATGAAGGGATATGGAATTTTTCAGGGTTTGAGGGTTTTGTTTTCCCCTTCTTTAGATTTTTCTAATTCACTTTAAGCCAGTATGCCAGCTGTGCTTGTTTGGCAATTTTTCTATTTTTGTGCATAGGGATGAAGGATATTTAGCTTGGTCCAACTAGTCCCTTATTGTTAGAGAGCACAGAGCAAGAATAATTGCCTGGAAATAAATTAGAAATTTTAAAAAACAAAAAAGGAGAAAGCGAAAAAAAAATTGAAGCTGATGTTTTTTGTAAATGCTTTAAAATGCATTAAAAGGGACACCAACCCCATGTTGTACCACAATTGCTAGTAATCAGGGCTACCATGAACTAGTATGCAGAGTGTTCATTGTGTAAATCCAGAGAGCAGCATGGACACAGCCTACTATATGAAGAGCGCCCCCTGCAGCCATGGACCATAGCAACCTAAATGTAAACTCACCTAATATACACTACTTCTCTAGCAGATTGTTCCTGGTCTACTTATAAACTGTTGTTTTAATGGGTTTGAATACTTGTTTATACTTCTGCCTTGGGGCTCCTAGAAAGTCACAAGGATCTTAAGGAATTCTAAATTCAGTGCTCTAAGGATGCTATCTCATGTGCTGTTCTAATGCTTTAGGGAGGATTTGTTTTATTTTGTTTAAAAGACTAGTATCATAGCAAACACCCTGTATTTATTGAGTTTCTATTACTGAATTGGTTGTTCTGCCCCCAAGCCGACCCCAGGGTAATGTTTCTAACGCACTGGCCTGCTTTAAATTTGTCAGTATCTCCCTCCACATTTCTGAACACTATCTAAACTCCTCAGTAAAATTCAGCTATAAAAAAAGAATGAAATCCTGTCATTCGTGGCAACATGGATGAATCTGGAGGACATTATGTTAAGTGAAACAAGTCAAGCACAGAAAGATAAACACTGCGTGTTTTCATTCACATGTGGGAGCTAATCAAAATTGAGCTCATAAAATTAGAGAGTAGATTGTAGTTACTAGAGGCTGGGAAGAGTAGGGAGGGGAGGATAGGTAGAGACTGGTTAACAGATATGAAATTACAGCTAGATAGGAGGAATAGTTCTAGTGTTCTGTAACACTGTAGGGTGACAATAGTTAATAATTTATCATATATTTTCAAAAAGCCTGAAGAGAGGATTTTGAATGTTCCCAACACAAAGAAATGATAAATGTTCGAGATGATGGATGTGCTAATTACCCTGACATGATCATTACACATTGTCTACATGTATTGAAATATCACTCTGTATTCCATACATATATACAATTAGTACATGTCAACTAAAAATAAAAGGGAAAAAATTATATATTAATAAAAGAAAAGAAATGCAAACAGGAATAAATCAATAAATAAATGCCTTAACAGAACTTTCAAAGCTCTTCATATCTTAGCCTCACCTCCCACCATGCCTTTATGTGCACCCAAGACCCCTGCCACAGTGGATTCCTTGGAGACCCTCGAGTGCACCATGCTTGCATTCATTTCCCTGCCCATGCACATCCCAATCCTATTTCCTAAAACCCACCCCCTCATCTATGCCTGACTAGCCCCTAATTGTCCTTTGTACCTGGCCCAGAAATCCCCTCTGTAGAAAATCTTCCCTGACCTACTCCTCCTTCTGGGAACCTGCTCTCTGAGCTCCGGCTGCATCCTGTACACCTACTGTTCCAGTGCTCACACCACAATGTTACAACATATGATGCTCTATGATGCATCGTGTAAGCACCCCTATTACTTTCAATAGACTGGGACTTCCCAAAGGGCAAGAACTACATCCTGATTTTTCTGTATATTTATTGCTTAGCATACTTTCACACATTTAGTATGTGCTAAGTTAATGTTAGTTGAATGAATCGATGAATATAAATCCTTCTAAAGTATCCGTCATTACATGGTGCTGTAGGAAATACAAATGTGGTTTAGAATATGATCTGGAACCTTATAGAAAAATCTCACTGGGGAGGCAAAGCCTAAACATATGAAGTAGATGACAGGATAATGCAATACGAAATTAATAGTAGAAAGAGCTAACATTTCTGTACTGTGTCCTACCTGCCAAGCACTATTCTGAGGGGTTCATTCTACTATTAATAACTAATTTAATCCTCGAAATAACCCTCTATTATATTAACATATAATAAAATATACACATATATTATAGGCATATTACTTCTGTATGTGTGCATACAGAGGGCCCAAAGCTAAGGTACAAGCACATATCATTTTGATAGCTTCCTTAGAGTCCCTTCATTTCTCTTTAAAAACCTGAATGGCCATTAACAGCCACTTCCTTTAATCTAGCCCTATTTTGGATAGTGCTTAATAGATCTTCATCAACACAAATGAGTTTAATATTATTTTCAGGTTTGTGAAGAGTCACTCTTGGTACTCCTTCTGGCTTTCGCTCTAGGTAGAGAGGTTGTCTAAATTCTTTCAGTGGGAGATTTGAAAAGCCCAGGCTACTTTCCAAAACATGCCCTGACCTAGAAAGTCAGAGCCCAGAAGATAATTTTGCTGACCGTGTTTCACCAAGTGACTTGCCCCAGAACAAACAAGATGGCAGCTCTCATAAGAAAGTCAGAAAGTCCTGGGTTTCTTTTTATCCCTTTCAGTTGAAATTCTTGAGTTTCTGTATTTGGAATTACATAACAATTTTTTTCTGTTGGAAACATCTCTTTTGTTAGTTTGTTTGTATTTTGTCTAGTAATAATGGCACATAAGAGATAAAATTCACCAAGTAAACATTGTGGACGTGGATGAGAACATTAATTTTTTTGCTCAGATAGAATTTCCATAGCCTCATCATTAATAAACCATTTGAAACATAGTAGAAACCCCTTATAACTGGAATATTTAATAAAAATAAGAGTCAATTCACATCCTCAAAACATAATCCAATAAAAACCTGTGATATGCTTAACATCTGACTTTGGCGTAAAAACAACGTCCCCAAATTACATTTTGACCTTGAACAATTAAACCCAAAATGAATGGAGGTAGCGTACTGCACTCACAACAGTTTATCCCAGCAGCTGTGCTGGCCTAGTGACAATCTCGTTAGCACGGTGATAAACCATATAATAGCAAACCCTTTCATTCCAGTAGTGATTTCCACAGAGAAATTTCAAAGTACCTTGGGAAGTTATGCCATTAATGTTCATTAAGTGCACATAGTGGCAGTAACTGAAGAACAGAGGTTCAGTGAAGTCACAGGTTCTTCGGAGAATTATCCAGGACGCTGTGTCCACCTCACTGATCACCCGCAAGGCTGGGCTTTCTCTTCACCACATGAGTCAAAAGACCCTTCCCTGTAAATCAAGTGCCTTCTACCCAGAATGCTATGATTTATAGAAAGTTTTCTGCTTCTGTAAGAAGTTAACCAAGTGTTTTTCATTATACCTTTATCCCCATTGTGTCTTTCATTTTTCAAGTATCTCAAGCTAAAATCCAAGTTTTAGTGATAATATAGATGGGTAAATTGCTAGCTATTAATAGATAGATACACACACACCTGAACTTTGTAGTAAAATTTTCCTTGTGTTTCAAACGAGGTTAGCATATTCCTCACAGATACAAATATGCCTCCCATTGAGTTATATATGAGTTGATAATTGACCTCAAAGCAAAAACATGGTGTCCTCTGTCTTACCAAAATATGATACTTTTACCCAAATTACTTGTTAATTGTATGTGCCAGAATCATCTACAAGAAGACACACAAGAAAACACCATACCAGGAATGTTTCAGCGTAAAAATTAGCCTTTATATTATTCTTTCATAAAAAATATTTATTCTGCCACATTTTGGGTTTTTTTTTTCAGCAGATATGTTGAACAGTAACAGTGGAAAATGTTCATGTGATGAATAAATATCTTTCCTTTTCCTTCCAATAGATATTTTCTCAATGATTTCTGACTCCAGCGGGGTGATGGTTTATGGACGGTACGACCAATTCCTTCGGGAAGTTCTCAAATTACCCACGGCAGTTTTTGAAGGTCCTTCGTTTGGTTACACAGAACAGTCAGCTAGATCCTGTTTCTCCCAACAGGTAGGGGAAAAACGTGTTTAGGGAAATATCTCTCAAACAGTCGTTGCTCCCCTTCTAGATGTCATTTAAAGTCACAGATACACAGGCAAATTCTTCTACGTGATAACAACGTACCGTGTGTCTTCCAGCCTCTGACAAATGACCCCTGAGCCAGTAACTAAACCCAACACAAATGGATAATAATAATAAGGTGGTGCTCGCTAACCATGAGGCAGGCACCATGCTAAGTTCTTTACTTTCATTGTAAAATTTAATTCTTACAACAACCCTCCACCCTCGTATCATTATTATTAATGACACTGCATCATCAAAAGGGCTGACTTGTCTCAGTTAGCCTCACGTGAAACACATGTGTCACCCAGCAGCTAGCTTTACCACTGCTTACCAAAGGAAACCAGAAAGAAATGGACTGCTTTAACTGGCCGGCTAGTAAACTTCGTCAGTCTGTTTATTTGGTGATCTGGGAGATCAAAACTGCATCAGGTGTCCATTCAAAATTAGGTAAAATAATAGGCCTGGGTTTGTTTTTAACTTAAAAGGACCTATATATTCAAAGAGTTATATATGATTTGCCATGCTCAAAATTCCTTTTGAAATATTCTGTAGACCGTTCTGTTGTATAATTTTTTATATGTCCTTAATGATGAGAAATTTATACATGTCTAAGTCATCATAATATTTTTGGAAACTTCCAGAAGTGATTTTTAGCCAGTAGGGCAAATGGTCAAAATGGATAAAATCATTTGAAGTACAAAAAGAGCTAATACAAATAATAATAAAATCGGTTTGTTTATATACTTCATAAACTGGCTGTAACAGCAGTTTTAATGGTGAAATTCCAAAACTGTTTGAAATGCTTCACTGGAAAAAGTCCAAGCCATCTCAAGTGATTGTTTTAAAAAACAATATTCTTTTAGATATATAAATTGTGGTAGCTTTTTAAAAAATATCTCATTACTGATACTTTATATCATATATATTTTAGTAATAATGTTGATATCAACCCTATAGAAAGCTTGCTATTTAGTATTATGGGAAAAGAAAAAAATTATAAATATCTATTGATAATAAAAGATTAATTTAATTAAGAGGTACCAAAACAGTTGATCAGTAAATCACAAGGACTAGTGTAGGGTGTAGGCCTTAAAAAGACACTATACCTCTTTAGGACTGATTTCTTCTTTAAAAATATAAAACTATCTCATCCACTTTGATACCCTAATTCAAAATTTCAAATGACATAGTGATTTTTGCATATAAATATGTAATTTTTGTTATTCATACTATTATAGTACATATATTAATATAGTGTTATTTTTGTCATTTTGAAAGAAACTTATAATACTTATAGATTATACACACATACACATATATATATATATATATACACATATATATATAATCATTCTTTTTCTACATCAAAAAGGACCAGGATAATGAGACAGATGGAATGGAGAGGAAAGATGTATAAAGGAAAGAAGAGAATTTTTTAAAAATTTAGATTGTTCTCTAAGAGGATTCCCTCCTAATCTTTTATGACAGAATCATTCACATTAACCACTAAATATTTAGTACTTAAGGAAGTTGAGGAAGCTTGAAACGGAAGTCGTTATACAAATTCAGAAGACCGACTGACAGGAGTTACAGAGTGAGCTATGCCATACCATTGAGTAAAATTCCATGGAGAATTTCAATTCTTCATTTTTCCTCATCATTTTTATAATATACTGTCCCTCTTATATAAAAGTGATGCTCTCAGAACTGCTTTTCTCCTGCTGATGCTGTTGACTCAGCCTCAGTGGAGACAGTTCAGTACTATGTATGCTCAAGTATAAAAAGCAATCAGTAGAACTACCATTTGATCCAGAAATCCCATTACTGGGCATCTACCCGAAAGAACAAAAGTTGCTCTATAAAAAAGACACCTGCACTCGAATGTTTATAGCAGCACAATTCACAATTGCAAAGATGTGGAAACAATCCAAGTGTCCATCAATACATGAGTGGATTAATAAAATGTGGTATACGTATACCATGGAGTACTATTCAGCTTTAAGAAACAATGGTGATATAGCACCTCTTGTATTCTCCTGGATGGAGCTAGAACACATTCTACTAAGTGAAGTATCCCAAGAATGGAAAAACAAGCACCACATGTACTCACCATCAAATTGGTATTAACGATCAACACTTAAGCACACATATAAGAATAACATTTATTGGATGTTGGGCAGGGGGAGGAGGGAGGAGGGAGGAGGGAATGGGCATATGCACAAACAATGAGTGTGATGTGCACATCCCAGGGGATGGACACGCTTGAAGCTCGGACTTGGGGGGGAAGGGGGCCAGGGCAACATACTAACCTAAACATCTGTACCCCCATAATATGCTGAAATAAAAAAAAAGCAATCAATTCTGAACTGGTTTAATAACACATTTGACAAGTTCTCTTTCTTTAGGTATTACAGGTTAATTGAGTGCTTTGTTTCTTCAGTCTACATAGGAGGTAAATTACATAGCAGGCAAAGTAAGATTATTCTCTGCTCAAAAATTTTGGGGTTTTTTGTTTTGTTTTGTTTTTTTGTTTTTTTGATGCAGAAAAAAGTCACGTTAAATGGTTTCTTGGACACGCTCATGTCGGATCCGCCCCCGCAGTGCCTGGTCTGGTTGCCTCTCCTCCATCGACTGGCAAATGTAGAAAATGGTGAGTCATTACTACTAAGCAAAGGCAGTCTTTAAAATTATTGAAATCAGGCCATCAGGTCTACAGGTATTAAGCCCAGAACATTGTTTTAGGGAAGTCTATTTAGTGGTTCTTAGTTTTGTTTAGAATAGAACTAATCCATCTCCCTGATCAGTAAGACCGTATGGCACCCCTGTACAATTAGGACTCTCAGTTCTAAAAACTTATGACATCTCATTGTGTTCCTCTCAGTTACAAGTCAGGTGTGACTTAAAGACTTGATACCACAGAAGAAGAACCTCAATAAGGAATGTGATAATTTCTTGTATTTGTTTTATATCTGAATTTCCAATATTGGTATATATGGTTGACTATTTCTTCCCAGGCACCCAACCAGGAATAGGTGGGGGAGATATGGCAAAAAATTTAGATAAGGACACCCTGCTAATCTTTAGTCATGTGCTCCAAATTGTAATCTTACAATAGTTGTACTTATATTAAAGATAAGAGTAAACATAACTTTTGTAGCATGCTTTTTTCTTAAAGCAGGTATTTATAGGATAAAAATAACTACTTTTGGCATATCCAAACTTAAATACGAAATATAGTTCAGAACAAGATTTAAAGAAATTTAAACATGGAACAACTCAGTGTCTCCATCTAATCTTTAGGTGTTCCTATTTATTGTTTAATGTAACTCTGAAATTTCTCCATACTTGAATAGAAAATAATTTATACCTTATCTCTTACTAGAATTTTAACTTCTATATATTTATTTAATATACACTGGGGCTAAAGTTAGTTTAATTTTAAATTCTTATTCAGAATTTTTAGCATCTGCCCTTATTGTTCTCACTTAGTTAAAAGTTATGAATTTATCTTGTTTTGTTTATGGATAAAATTTAAAGGATGAACCTAGTTTCTTTGCAATCACTAACAATCATAGTTTTTTTATGCTTCTTTTTCATATGCAAAAGCAAAGAGCAGTCAAGATCCATATTATTATGCAAGATGAGTTCTTCATATTACTATTTACTGTTCTAGAACTAGTCATTTTCCAATCATAAAACTGTAATTTCATTCCCTCTCTCTCAGTATTTCCTGTCACAGTTTCTTAGGCATTGTCCCAGAGCAGTTGTCCCTAGATTTAAGTCCCATCCTAGTCTTTCCCAAGGACCAGAAAAGGGAGGTTATGATGCTCGTTCAAGAGAAAATGCATCCAGAACTGGTTATATCTTTGTTTTTACAGTTTGCTTTTTACTTTCATTTATTCCTATTTGCATTCTTTTTTCTGACTGGTTAGCCAGAGAATAACTTCACCAACGGCAAGAATCATTATTGTTGTTTTAGTATCTTTAGTTCATAATATGTAGATAATTACTTGGATTTGATCACTTACTAGCTTCAAACCTCAAATATTTTACCTTGCCTGCTTTATAATTTAAATCCTGCCAAAGAAAGTCAAGTATCTCTTGAACTATCTGAATCAGAATGGTTTTCAGATAAGTTATTCATCTTTTGGGGCCCTATCCACCTGCCTCAGGAAAAAAAAAATCTGTTTGTTAGATGAAGGGGATGCCACTTATTAAATAAACCCATTCACCACTCCATTTTTGAAAAATTAACTCAATTCTCTCATCCAGTTTTTCCACTCTCCCACCATTTTTCTTTCTTTTTTCCTCCTCTCATTCTCCATTTCTCTAATGTTTGTTCTCTACCCACTGGACAGTCAGCTGTATTCATTCCTTGTTCTTGTGAGTCTCCAGTGAGCTGTGCTGGTCTCCTGGAGACAGGGAGCAGTTTGGGGTAAAGCAAGTCAGTTTGGGTTATTTAAATTCTTGTGGCGTAAGAGACGGGAGTAGAAAGAGCAAATGGCATTACTAAGATTCGTGTTGTTAAAAGGACACCTCTTCTCCATCCCATTTCATTTCATCCACCCACAGACCCACGTTTGAAAAGGGTAGTGAGATTTCAGGAGTGAACTAAATGCCTCTCTGAGCCAAAATCGACTCTGAACTGAAATTGCAGCACACAGCCGAAAAATGCCATTGCTTTTAAGCTGTATTTTTCTTTATTCCGGTTCATATATTTGTTTCCTTTTCTTCATTTATTTCCCTCCTTAGTCTTCCATCCGGTGGAGTGTTCCTACTGCCACAGCGAGAGTATGATGGGGTTTCGCTACCGATGCCAACAGTGTCACAATTACCAGCTCTGTCAGGACTGCTTCTGGAGGGGACATGCCGGTGGTTCCCATAGCAACCAGCACCAAATGAAAGAGTACACATCATGGGTAAGGCGAGATCCAGGCAATACTTAC